ATGGAGAGTATATGATTAAATAATTGTAGGTTGCACGCAAGGGATAAATCAAATACAGTCAATTCTCTAAGAGTCATAACTTTCGGTTTGGACAATTTGCTTGGTAGTGCCCATAACATTGACATTGAAACATTTCTTGTCTTCAAATCAGGCCGTGGAGCATCATTCTTCACAAAACCTGTTTTCTCCTTTGGTGTTCATTGGTTTGTTCTTATCATAAACCATAGGTGCCACATATGGTTTGGTGTAGGAAGGTGAACCCCTTTGGTAGTTACTTTCCTTAAAGAGTTTCTTGGGGGCAAGGACTTCATGCTCTTCAATTGCTTTTCAATCTGTGGACAGCTTGCAACATCCCCAAAGGAATGGTAAGTTTGCAACTCAAGCTTGTATGCAATGTCCTTACTCAAAACCGCCGATGAACTTGCAATTGTATGCTCTTTCTCTCGGGAATATCACTCTCAACATCAACACGTCAAACTCCTGAATATACTCCTCAACTTTTCTATCTCCTTGCTTCAAATTAGGAGCTTAAGATAAAGGTCTTGTTTGATTATCAAGCAAGAATCTTTTCTTCAACACTCTCTTCAATTTCTCCATGATCTAATTCTAATCTTCCCTTCTCTTTCTCTCTTCTTCCTTGTATTTTCCCACCAAAGGAGGCATACTCCTTGAACTTTAATATGCTACTTTACACTTCTTTTCATCATTGTAGCCCTTAATTCAAATACCCGCTCAATCTCATGCAACCAATCAATGAAGTCATTTGGATCAAGACTTCCATTGAATTCGGCTAAGTCTACTTTAAGACCCTATCATCATCAAACTTTCTCTCCCTAGGCACTTCGGATTCACTAGATGAATCATTAATATCTCTTAGGTTTTCCATATACATGGTGTCCTAAGGATGGTCGTGTGGTGTAGTGTGGGCGACCATCCCGTGGGGGTGGTTGTGGGGTTTCCTCAAAGGTGCGTTGGGGTTGAAAGGTTGGCAATGTCCTTAGACATGTTAACCATCAATTCCATCATGCTTGACATATTTCTCTTACTTCATCAGTTTTCTTGAATTTTTTGGTGGCACTTTCCCATGGTGTTGGGGGTGGAATTGGGGGAGGAAGGACTTGTTTGAAATGAAAATTTGAAAGTTTAGCTACTGTGAACAGTAACTCGGATGAACAGTAACTTTTGAATGTTAAAGAAAAATAGAAAATGGGGGGGAAAGGTCAAGTGGTATGAGTTTAGTGATTTGGTTAAGTATAAGTATTTTGTGAATAGTGTATGTGAATAGTATCTATGAATAGTATTTTTGTGATTAGGCTAAGAAATGGTTTTATGGAGATGAGATTAGGTTAGTAATTGGTTTGGGTTTAGGGTTGTGTTTAGGGTTTAGGGTTAGGTTAAGGGTTTAAGGTTTGGTTAAGGGTGGTTGGTTGGTGAAGGAATGGGTTTAGTTGACTTTGAGGAAATTGGTTAGGGTTTGGGTGAGGTGGCAATGGGTTTGGTAGAAGGGAACAAGGTGTAAGGGATTTGGTTAGGGAATAGTGTTTGATGAGAGAGAAAAATTGTTCAATCACTTGTAACAAAGAAAATTTTGAAAAACATTAGGCCAAAGAACTCCAAATCCGACAATGTAGACTCCAAAATCCAGCCAACTTCATTCAATCATTCCTACTCCAATTCACAACCTAAGCTCGATACCAAATGATCCAAATCCAACCAATTTGCAACACAAACAAAACCAAAAATATGCCCTAAACTCAAGCTCAAATTCGGTCAAACATAAATGGAAGCAAATGTCACACTTACTTGCAATTTTAGGTTAAGACAAGAATGAACACTTCAAGCATAAAGGAATTCTCCACCAACTTGAATCAATTCACCACCAAATTCCTTGCCAAGACTTGGATAAAGAAATCTCAATAAGAACACAAAGTTCTCTAATGGTTAAAACCAAATTTTGATATTTCATGAACTACTTTTACAAGGAGAATAGGTGCCTTATATAGGCAATTACAAGGTTAAAAGTGTAATCAACAATTACCATACAAGAAATGAAAATAATAAAAATTACACAAAATAATTACAAGCCTTCCATTCAAAATTAAGGTCATACCCATTTAATGCAAAAGGGACATGAATCCCTAATTTAGGGTTCATGTCTTTAACCACCCCATTAGTTGAAAAAACTCACTTTATTAGCCCAAAACTTGATCAATGATCTAATCAAGTCTACTAATAAGGGTGTAGAGATTGGGCCTTGAAGATCTTGTAAATGGATCCAATAAGGGTTCAAGTGGACTTTCCCTTTTGGAATTAGAATTGGGCCGAATGGGTTCACTTCAACACCTTGGGCTTCTCTTTAGTAGACTTGAGCTCCTTTGTTGGGCTTGGACTTGGAATGGTTTGGGCCGAAGTGCTTGGGCTCTCTCTCCCTTGGAAGCTTGGGCCGAATCTCTTCCAATGCTTTCCACACTCCACAATCCAAGTGTTTTAGGACTTGGAATGAAACTCTTTGATTCAACCGAATTAGCAAGTGTTTTAGGACTTTTAATTCTTGTCTACTCATGTTTACAAGTGTTTAGACTTGTAAATGTATCAGTTGTAAAACTTGTTGAAGTATGGAGTAGTAGTCAGTTTAAGTTGTTATTCACATAAAATGGATTTCTTTCATTCTTTGTTCTTTCTTTAATTATTATATTTGTATTATTTTTCCATTAAATTCATTCAAACAAGATCCTGAAAGGGATCTAGCATCTATCTTATATCATATGATTAAATTTTAAGATTAGCACAAGGAAGCAGTGCGCATACATGAGAAGCCTTTAATTTAATATCATTTACGTTTCCTTCAAAAATATATTACTGTAATATCATTGACTGAAAAGTATATAGAGTATATCCAAGGGTTTTACAAGCTGACTTTTATTTTTTAATTTATAACTCTAGAATCTCTCTGTGAGAGTGTATTCGACAAAAAGACATAGTGAAACCCTTTGATCTTGAGTTCGAACTTAGGGTGGGTGTGTTAGAATCTAGACTTGGCAAAACAGGCGGGTGGGTCGAACCCAAAGGGTGCGGATCTTGCGGGTACATGACCACAACGAGTCGATCTAAATGGATAATATTCAAGCCCTACCTTATGCGGGTATGGGTGGACCTGTGGGTATCTGCAATGTTCATAGCAGTTTTAAATTATGACAGTTATACCACCAAAATTACTGCAATTTTTAATTAGACAGTGTACACTTCCAAAATATTGGAATATTTTTGCATCATAACATCCTTATAGAAGCTGGATCAATTAATATTTGGGATCTATTTGTTCGGTTGGACATTATAAGTTTGAATTGATTAAACATTACCTTGAACCCGATTCTACTTATGAATTCCTTATATAATTAAATACCACATCCATCACTATCTTCTTCAGGAATACTATATGAATTCCTTAGTTTTTGTCTCTTTTAGTTATCCCCTTAATATCTCATCCTTTTGTAGATCACTGCGAGCTTGAATGAGTATGTATTCTTGCGGCCATCATGGATCACTTCTCTATCATATTGCCATGGCCTTCCAAATAAAAGATTGCAAGCATCCATGGGAATGATGTCACAAAGTACCTCATCCAAATAGCTCCTCCCAATGGAGAATGGTACTACTACTTGCTTGACTACTTGTATGGTGTCTCCATTGCTCAACCATTGTAGCTTGTATGGGTGAGAATGATCCACAACCAGCAGCCCCAATTTCTCCACAAGTTTTGTGGAAGCAACATTGGTACAACTCCCATTATCAATGATCATTGAACAAACTTTTCTCTTGATAGTGCACCTTGTATGGAACGAGTTCTCCCTTTGGTTCTCTTGCGGGTTTACTTGAGTATGCAGCAACTTCTTGAGCATAAGCATCTTTCCACTATCAGCTTCCTCAATAACCTCATTCTCACTCTCATCTACTTCCTCTTCTTCACGAGAATCCTTTTGACAAGCATCATCAATCTCATTTATCNCATGCTGCCATGTCATAGTGTGAGAGAATTATATATATATATTCCCTGGTGTGAGAGAATTATATATATTTATTCCTTGACTATTCCTCTACTTTTGACCTTTTCATCTATTCTTTTTGTTCCTTTAACTTTGATCTTCAAAAGAGACCTCTGTAAGCGTGCATGAAAACCGTCACCTCGATGACACGTCCTGTTCCCTAACTCTACTCACTACTGTATATATATACACAAATTCACTCCTTCATTTCTCACCTTCATTTCCACTCCCTCACAATCACTCTCTTTCTGTTTCTTTGAGAGAAGAATAATGGCTACATTAGTCCTCGAAAAGAAACTGACACGGACGGACATTACCAGTAAATTGTCTGTTCCAACAAGGTGTCTCAATCACTTCCCTGCTTTTGGTCAAGGCCGATGCGCTGCACGTCTAACTGTAAAGGATTTAGGGCAAACGCATATTGAGAGATACTGGTCTCTCCGCTTGGCCGTCCGCCGGCGTGGTTATGCAAAGCCTGTTATTGGAGGTGAATGGCGAAAATTTGTTGATAGAAAGGGACTAAAACCTGGTGATGTAGTTCTGTTCTTCAAGAAAGAAAATGAAGCTACATCAGAAGTTTCTTACGGGATCAAACCAGTCTATCGTTTTATTTAAAAACTTTGTTAATGTGTGTTTGAGAGTTGATTTAATATTGTCTATGGTCCCATGGTCCCATGGTCAGTTGGTTTTGTTTCGGTTTGAAAGTTTGATTTACATTTTTGGTTTGGGTTTGGAAGTTTGATTTACTTTTTTGGTTTGTTTTCATATTGTTTATGTAAGTTTGCAACTAGTACCATATATTTGTATACATCTTGGTTTGATATAATAATATCTGTGGTTCTTATATATATTTCATTTTACTTTGGACACTGATAACATAGTATACTCTCAATGAGTTAGAAAAGAGGAGGTAGGTGGGTGGGGCAGGAACTTTCAACTTAGTGAGTTATGTAGTTGCTAAAGTTGGCCAGTACAAATTCTCCACTAGTCTTTCTTTTATTTACGTTTTTCTGTTCAAAAAATAACTTCACTGTCAGGTCATTTTCTTCTCAAGCTCTTCGTCTGCTTCATCTACATTCATCTCTCAGGTCAGCTGCCATCACTTAATTCCCTCACATCTTGAGATCAATTTTTTTTTTTTCTTGGACAATTTCTGGGTAGCAATTATGTTGATATTGAGTTGTTGCACACAAAAAAGGAGCCAAAGAACCATGGACATCACTTCTAAATTATCCGCAGGCAGAATACTGTTCTCTTAAACTTATATATTCTCAATTCATTGCTGTTGACGCTAATCTTTTAATGACCAGAAAACTTAAATTTTGCAAGTCGTCAGCAGGTCTCCTGAACACGATGGCTAATTTTGCTATTCTGGCAACGTATAAAGAACAGAAGCTATCCTATACCCTAGGGCTGTGTTTGCTTCACAATAATAAACATGGGAATAGGAATCTTATTCCCTATCCCATGTTTGGTTTAACTATTTGCATTCCAGAATCAAACATGCATGAGGTAGGGTATTTAAATTGTGGCTCTTCCTAATTTTAGGAATCCTCATGAATCCTTTTAGCTTCAGTACATGAATGATGAATGTGGCTTATCATCAATTTGCAGAATATGGAAAGCACAATGATAAAATAAAGTACTGGGCTAGTATCATTTTTTGTCTTGATACGGTTTGGATTGTGACCGGTGGTGGGTAGCCGTAGCTTTTCATGAAACTGATTGGACTGACAGAAGATATCCCACCCACCAAACAAAATGCTCCTTTTCTCCCTGTGTTCCTATATATAGCTAGCGGTTGTTCCCAAAGAACATGGAATTATCTAATCCTGACAACTTCAAATGCAACGAGAGATTAAATTAAGGAAGGTGGTGGGGCTGGAGTGGATGTGGAGCCCATAGGTCAATATTTCTTTTATTGTTCTTCTGTAAAGTAAAAGGACACGTAGGTAATTTTCTTAAACTATTGTGTTTCTCTTTAATCTTTTATGGAAAATGATAGAGTCATGAAGGTTGCGTACCGAATTTATGTACCGAATGACGTAGTGAAATCTTAACCGTTGATTAATATTAACTGATAATGAATTAATGGTCAGAATTTTATCACGTTATTTGATGCACAAATTCAGTGCGCAACCTTTTTCTTTGTAAAATAAATTTAAATTAATTACAAACTGATCAGTGAAAAAAAGTTTATAAAATGGAGTTGTTTGTGTAATATTATCTGCCAAGACCCTTATGTAACAGTCCAATAAAAACCTCCTAAGCCATCTTCTCATAAACCCAACCCACCTCCGTTAAATCCAAGTCCAAGGGGACTCCATGCCCAAAGCCCATAACCATAAATAAAAACCCACTCCCATGTGAACCTTCATGAACCAAAACCCAGCACCCTCAACAGACCCTTAATCATCCATATCCCTCTTCTCTCAAACCTGGACACCAAATGCCGCATAAAACAAGAAGTCAGTCACAGTATGCGTATGAGTTTGTGAGCACTAATGATTTGTTTTTGGCTGCTAAATCTGAATTTGGAGATGGAGCTCAACTTTATATTAAGATTGATGTTGAGATGCTTTTGTGGGTCATTTTGGTTTTCTTTGTATTTTTCATATATTTTTGTATCTCAAATTGTAATTTCTAACTCTGAAGACATGGATTGATCATCTTTATAAAGAATTTTCCGTTTATTTCTACCTGCTGTGATTTTTTTTATTTAATTGATCTCACGTTTTCAATGATTTCTTATATTTTTATAATTTGAAAACAATAAAATTCATATTGTATTAAAGAAAATTGACTAAAGAAATCTGTAACTTTTATTTTGCGTTAAAAATACTTAGATATTATCTATACTGATATGCTATACATCATTTAAGAAAAATTACTGTTCTTCTTATGTTTTATTCAATGGTAATACTTTACAAATATTATTAGAAATGACATAATAATTTATAAATAAACTCATAATCTTGTTTTTCATTTTTAATCTTTAATTCTTAATCATAAACCCTAACGCTAAATCTTCAAAATCATTAAAACATTTTTTTTATTTCAATATATCTCTTTGTTTTATGAAAATATATTATTAAAGTTATAGAGAATATAATTACACAACGAGATGAATCTAAATCCGAAAAAAAAAAAACAAAAAAAACAATTTGAAAATTTGAAAATGAAAATAAATGGTATAAACCAAAAACCTAATTAAGAAATAAAGAAAAAGTGGTGTAAACAAAAGCAACACGAACACCCTGATCTTCAGTAGTAGTAGAGGAACAGCGTTGCAGAGACTTGCCAGAGATACAAAAAAATTCAATTTAACGGCTTCCTCTACTACTACAGAAGATCAGGTGCAGGGTCGTCTCTAGAACATTTGTGACCCTAGGTAGGAGTTATTTTGGGGCCCTCTAATAATATAAGCATATATTAAAAAAATTACACAAACAGACTCTTAATAAACAAAAAGCTAGTTTAATCTCCAATGGATGTGATAGCAAATGGTTTCTTCAGTGGGCTGTTAATTTTTTCGGCTATTTTATTTCCATGTTACTTGTATGCCATAATGTACACATTTGAATATGCTGCTGTTCTATCTGAGATATATGGTTTGATTGTGAGCATGATTATCCATTCTTCTATGAATTGAAAATTTAATTAAATTGTTCAGTACTTTTTATTGTCCAGCCATGCATATATGATATAGGCATGGCTGTGTGTGAAGCCTTCATGTAATGTTGTAATTACTTCAATATATACAACATAAAATTGTTTCTAGCTGGTGGAGACTTCCCGAGCAAGTAAAAAGATTCAATATTTATTTGTTTGGATTATCTCTTTATTCAACTATGTAGTGCATTTATTTGATTATTGTATTTGGTTTCTTGAAGGTATTATACCTCAAAAGTCAAGCATATGTCAGCACAATTAATGTCTATTTGTACTAGCTGTCAAGCCATATCTCAAAGTATCTCACCACTTTATCTTATTTCAAAGAGATGAATGGACAAGAGCCTTCATGTGTCAAGGCAGTTTGCAAAAGCTCTCATCGATTGAGTGCAAATGTGAATAATGGGCAATCCTCTTCCCGAAGAAGGGAGGCTGGGCTGAGATTTAGCTTCAATTCTTTCTCTCTGTAAAAACACTGTATTTTTCATCTTTGTATGCTTACGGGCAAAATCATAGAAGTAGGGAGAGATCAAATAAACTAACAGTGGATGTAGGAGTCGCTGTGTTGCATCCGAAACACTATAAAAACCCTCTTGCAATCTTTTATTTATTTTCTGCAAAAATATAATCTCAGCTCATATTCAAATCTCATGGATCCATCACGTATGTCTCCTGAGTCAGCTCAGCGTTTCCCACGTGCAAGTCGTTGGCGTCCAAACAAGCGTCAACAGTTTGGTGGCCCATGCAGGTCCGATTTCGAACTGCATCAAAGTTCCTGATGGCGTGGCTCAGATCTACAAACCGGGTCAGAGTTCTCGATCGCGTGGCAGATCGTAGATCGCACGCGTGTGAATTCTCGATCGTGCATCAGAATTCTCCAATCGCTTGCAGATCGCAGATCGCACGCATCAGAGTTCTCGATCGTGTGGCCAGATCGCAGATCGCACGCCATGCACCTGACCTCAGCTTCAGGTCGCGGACTTTAGCTCAAATCGGGTGTTCAGATCGCTGATCTCTTGTGCTCTAGGTAGAGCGTTATGATCTCCCAATTGAGGTCGTTTTGTCATTGAGCTTGTTTTGAATCTCAGTTGAGGTCATTTTGCTCATTAGGTCGTTTTGACCTCTCAGGTCGAGGAGAGGTCGGTTTGACTCTAAATTGAGGTGTTTGCTTTTGAGCTTGTTTGACCTCTCAGGTTGAGGTCGTTGTTGCCATTGAGCTCGTTTTGCCCTTCAAGTGAGGTCGTTTGCTTATTCAGGTCGTTTGACCTCTCAGGTTGAGGAGAGGTCGTTGACCTCTAAAATGAGGTCTATTTGCTTTTTGAGCGGTTTTGATCTCTCAGGTCGAGATCGTTTTGCTCTCAATTGAGCTCGTTTTGCTCAGATTAGCTCGTTATGACCTTTCAGGTCGTTTCCTACCAGATTTCAGGTCGAGCTCTACTAGATTCTGATTTTCCTAACGATTTCTGTCGTTTTCTACAGATTTCTGGTCGTTTTTCTAACAGATTTCTGGTCGTTTTCCGAACAGATTTCTGGTCGTTCAACAGATTAGATGTTTTCTAACAGATTCTGATAGTTTTAACATATTTTTGGTCGCTCCAACAGATTTCAGGTCGTTTTCCTAACAGATTTCTGATCATCTTCCTAACATTTTAGTTCAAGCTCTTCAGTTCGAGACCGCAGCAGTCAGATCAAAGACTTTGTTTCTAAAGTGAACGCACTTCAAAACTAGGGGCTTGTTATGCCTCAAAAATCAAGCCTATGTCACACAATTAATATCTCTTTGTACCAGCTGCCAAGCCCATATCTCCAAGAGATTCACCAACTTATCATTTCAAAGAGATGAATGGACAAGAGCCTTTCATGTGTCAAGGCAGTTTGCAAAAGCTCTCATGCATTGAGTGCAAAAGTGAATAAATGGGACTCCTCTCCCGAGAAGGAGCTGGGGTGAGATTAGCTTCATTCTTTCTCTATATAAAAACACTGTATTTTTCATTTTTGTTGTCTACGGGCAAAATCATAGAAGTAGGGAGAGATCAAATAAAATAACCGTGGATGTAGGAGTCGTGTTGCATCGAACCACTATAAAAACCCTCTTGCCAATCTTTATATTTTTCTGCAAAATATATATCTCAGTCCATATCAAATCTCATGGATCCATCAGCTGTGTCTCTGAGTCAGCTCAGCGTTTCACGTGCGAGTCGTTGGCGTCCAAAATCAAGCGTCAACAGAAGGTAGCTCCATTGTATTCGTCGTGTCTTGTTCTATTTTCTTTTCATTCTTTGTTTCCTTCCTTAATTATTATATTTGTATTATTTTTTCCATTAAATTCATTCAAACAAGATCCAAACAAGATTCTGAAAGGTATCCTACCATCTCATCTTGTAATCATATGATTAAATTTTAAGATTAGCACAAGGAAGCAGTGCGCATACATGAGATTGAGAAGCCCTTTAATTTAACATCATTTACTTTCCTTCAAAAATATTTTAGTGTAATATCATTGACTTAAAAGTATATAGAGTATATCCAAGGGTTTTACAAACTGACTTTAGAGAAGCTTATAAGCATGTTTGGTTGAGCTTATGAAAATTAGCTTATAAGTTACTTTAAGCTTATAAGCATTTGAAATTTTAAGCAGTTACGTGTTTAGTTAAAATACTTATAAGTGATTGATAAATAATTGACACGTTTGACAAAATGTAGTTTATAAGTATATTTTATTATTAAAATGACTAAAAAGAGCATTACATTATTTTATCAAATAATAAATTATACAATGGAATTTTAAAATTAAATAAGGATAATATGGTAATATATTTACTCAAACTAGCTTATAAGCAGCCAAAAAAAAAAATATATATCTTCAAAATATCTTCCCCCCAATTTAATTTTTTTTTTAACTTATAAACTCAGCTTATAAGTACAAAAAAATTATAAACAAATATGTCAATTTAATTTTAGAGCTTATAAACTAGTTTGAACAGCTTATAGGCTTATAAAAACACCCATTTGTCTCTTTTGTCTAAATGAGTTCTGTTATATGAGCCTCATCTACACCTAAGATAGGAATTCTACTATTTTGTGGGCCTCAGCTAATCCTGGAGTAGCATTTTGCTACATTATGTTGTAGGAATATAAAAAATAATTAAAAAAACAACAACATGATAGCAACTCAAGCTAACATAAGAGGGAGATTTATTATTTTATTTTATCAAATATAAATTGACAATACATTTCTTTATAGAGATGTTAAATTATAATGCTACTCAAACTAGGAATCTTAATACGTACTAACTTATAACCCACATTAACAAAACTAGACTCTTAATAAAACTAAATAAGCTTAGTTTAATCTCCAATGTATGTGAATATGCAAATGTGTTTCTTCAGTGGGCTGTTAATTTTTTCGGCTAATTTTATTTCCATGTTACTTGTATGCCATAAT